CTTTTTGAGGTACCAAAGTCCTCATATGACTAGTTTGTATTAGCAAATTGAAATTTGGTGCTAATCTTACCTGGTAGTCACGAACTTTAGCAATAACCCCATTGGCACACAAAACGCCAATGATGTGTGAGCTATGACACAACAAAAGTATCCCCCTCCCTTCCGGTTAAAATTAAAAGTTTTCCAAGGAAAAAGTTTGCACATTGGAAAACATATTGTTAACCCCTGGGTTTAATTTTGGTATCAAAATGCATTTGGAATTCTTCAATTAAGTACTAAAAAATTATTTTTTTATACAATATTTTAATTTTTCGTTGTACTGGAGGTCCCCAAAACATAAGATTTGTCTTATTTTGGTCTTCAATATTTTAATTGCATCATTTTGGTCCTTGAAATATTAAATATGTTTTTATATAGTCCTTCAACCAGATAACGTCTAGCTTATTAATATTTTTTTATCATAAACAAAATTTAAGTAGCTCATGATAAAAAATGTGTTACATGGGTAGCTTTGACCAAAATTTAAATAACTTGTGATCAAAACTATGTAATTTATGTTGCTATTTAACCAAAATTTGAATAAAAATTTAGTCAAGAGTTATCCTAATTATTTTTTTATCCATATTTAAGTATCACGTGACAAATTTTATGATAAAAAATTATTAGTAATTTAAACGTTGTTTGCTTGAGGGTCATATAGAAACACTAGTTAGTTTCTATGCTTGAAGGCACGTAGTAATAACAAAATTGTCAACAATAAGCATATTTATATATTTTTTTTTTTGGATAGGGGAAGGGAAATGAGAGGGGGACTTGAACCATTGATTTCAAGAAAACAAAACCTTTTGTGACAAGGGATATCATTGGAAAGAGAAAAGAATTTAAGCACTAGTTGGAATGGGCGAGCGAGTGGTGGTGGTGGTGGTAAGGGTGATGGTGGGATAGTGGTAGTGGTGGTGGGGGGTGGGGTGGTGGGTGGTGGTAATGGGGATGATGGTGGTGAGGCAGTTGTGGGATGGCGACGACGACGGTGGTGGTAATGGAACTGTGGTGATGGTTGTTGTGGAAGAGGTGGTGGTAAAGTGGCGACGATAGTGATGGTGATGGTGGTAGGGTGGCAACGGTAGTGATGGTGATGATGGTAATGATGTAGCGGTGGAGGTGGTGGTGGTAATATGACGATAGCGATGATGATGGTAGGAGCGATGATGGGACAGTGACGGTAATTGTAAGGTGGTAAAAGCAGTGGTGGTGGTGGTGGGGTGACGACAATAGTGGTGGTGGCGACGGCGGTGGTTGTTGTGGGATAGTGGTGATGGTTGTTATGGAAGAGGTGGTGGTGGGGGTAACAGTGGTGGTGGTGGGCCGGTAGAGATAGCGGTGGTGGGATAGCAACAGTGGTGGTTATGGTGGGATAGCGATAGTGGTGGTAGTTGTTATGGCAGAGATGGTGATGTAGTGGTGGCGGGCGGTGATAATGGTGGTGGTGGTGGTGGTAGTGATGGTGTGAGGGAGTAGTTGTGGTGGTGGGGTGACGGTGGTGATGGTAATGGTAATGGTGATGGTGGGGTGGTGGTGGTAGTGCAGTTCTGAACACTACTTTTTTTTTTTTAAAGTATTTATGTAAAGTTGTAAGTTTTAAAAGAACTTTTAAAAAGTTATTCCAAACAAACCCTTAAGAGCTTATTTTTTCTATTAAATTTAGAGTATTAATATTAGCCGTCGGATAAATTTTAAAGTAAACTTTAAAGAGATCTCAACCGCAAAAAATAAAAGTCATTTTGTTTATTTTTTGATATTTGAATTGTATTGTACTTTATTATATAGACTAATTATTGCATATGTCTGAAGGCATAGAGTAATAAAAAAAATGGTAAAAAATAAATATATTTGTATTCATATCCAAAATCAAATTACAAACATAGAAAAGAGATAAAGGAATTTAACCATTGATTTGTAGTGAGGGTGAGAGATGGTGGGTGACAGTGGTGGTGGTAGGAGACAGTAATGGTTGTGGTGGATGACAATAACCATGGTGGTTGTGGCTGTGGTGATGGTGGCGGTGGCAGTAATAGGCGTGGTGGTGGTGGTGGTGGCGGTGGCGGCAGCGCCAGTGGTGGTGGTGGTGTGGCGACAGTGATGGTGGTAGTGGTGGTGGCAATAGTGGCGATGGAGGCAGCGGCGGTGGTGGTGACGGCAGCGACGATGACAGCGATGGTAGTGGCGGCGACGGTGGTGGGGTGGTGATGGTGGCAACGACGACGATGGTGATGGTGGCGGTGGCGGTGGTGATCATAGTAGCGGCGATGGCGACAATGGTGGCAGCAGTGGCGGCGATGGCGACAATGGTGGTAGCGGTGGCGGTGTTGGTAACGATGGTGGTAGAGGTAGTGGTGGGGCGGTTTCAAACGCTATTTTTTTTTTAAAGTGGTTATGAGAAATAATTTCTAAAAGTATTTTTAAAAAGTCACTCCAAACATACCCTTAAGAGCCTATTTTTTCTATTAAATATAAGGTGTTAATATTAGTCGTTAGATTAATTTTAAAGTAAAATTTAAAGCGACCTCAACAATGAATAACAAAAGTCATTTTGTTTATCTTTTGAAATTTGAATTGTAAGTTACTTTATTATATAGATATTCAATACATCAGTGACCAAAATGTACAATTAAAATATTGATGACTAAAATAAGACAACCTCTATATTTTAGGGACCTCCAATACAATTAACCCTTTTTCGCAGGACAAAAAATGTGGCATGTTTAAAATGTGACATCCTCTTAAACAAGGGAATGACTCGACTCAAGTTCATTTTTCAGTCCCTATGCAGCAGCTTGGGTGGTCTCCATGCCACAGACCTGGGTTTTTTTAAATGTTAATTTTCCCAATTTCTAGGTACTGTTTTTTAATTTTATTTATTTCTTATTAGACTTTTACTTCTTTTCTTACCTTAATCACATATAAGAATATAACACTCATTGTGTTATTTTGTGGGCCATCAGTCGGACTCAACGAGACTATTGTAACAGTCTGAATCCTCTTAAATTTGTACATAATTTATCTTAAACCGACTCATAACTAACTCAACTCGTTTATTTGTCATTTCCATTACTATTTATAGTTTAAGTCCTCTTATTTTTCGTCCAAAATCAAAACGATTTTAAACTTGGGATTTATTAGTGTTTTTCATCACCTCCCATTGTCACGCAATATTCATCATAAAGCATGGGATTCTTTTGACTCTTTTCATCGCTTCCGATCATCACGCCACAGACAACCAAGTCTACCTCTTATATTATAAGGGAAAATTTACATTAGACAGAGGCAATCCCAAAAAAGAAAGTAAAATAATAATAATTATTATTATTTATACAATATAACCGAGTATCAATTGTCTATAGAAAACAAAACAGCGACATAAATCATTTAGATTCGACAGTTTACTTTACAAATTATATTTTAATTTTTTTAACTACAATTAAAAAAAATTACTTATATTTTATCTTTTAATCCTAATAAATACTTTAACTATTTTAATTATTTATTTACATCTTAATCACAATAAATTTTAATCACTGTAAAAAAGGCACATGGACTCCTATAACATTAAATATGACAAGCTCATGTCCCGGCGGTTATTTCTTAACAGATTTTGGTAGGTATACCGACATCTCTTTAATTAGTCAAACTCCAGTTTTTCCTTTTCCTATTTCTCTTTAGCTTTTTCTTTTTCTTTTTCTTTTTCTTGTCCGTCGGTAAATCAGCCGGTATGATGTTTGGTGTTTGAGGGAAGGAATATGGTACCGTATTAAGAATTATAATTTTATAAGGTAAATTTATAATTTGTAAAAAATAAAATTGATCTACGATATTGCGATTAATTATGAAAGTTACATTTTTTAAAAATTAAGTTACGACTTATAAAGAAAAAATTACAATTACACAAGGATAGGCACGAGGCGAGCACGTGAGTATGAGACGGTGTGATATTTCTCCTCTAGGATCCTTAGTGCATATCTAGTTCCAAACATTCTAGGATGGAGGTTCCACTTTCCTTGCCGCTCTATTCAAAATGCATCTGAGAGCTACGATAGTAACAAGAGTTCATCCCATAAAGAAGAGAAACAAGCTAAGAGTCAAGTAAGTAATCTCTTCTGACTCAATTCCAACTAAACCTATATATACTGACTTAATCATCAGAAAATCGACCATTGGAGTCCCTTCGATTTTCGACTTCTTTGTAGGAGCTCAGCGGCAAATGTTAGGTCATCGTCCATTCCATTGGTGTAGTTTTTGGGATCAACACTACCAATTGAGAAACTTATCAATGAAAAGTTTTCGGGTGAGGCTATTTCCAACCCATTAATTTTTTTCTACTTAAATTATTAAATTCATTCCTTCTGTACTTACCCCTAAACCCACCCCATGTTATTCACACCCATTTAATAACAAGTTTATCTTCTATTTTTTCAAAATTAAGATTTTATTTACTATTTTCTCTCGTATGCCGTATTCGAAAGAATTTTTTAATCTCGACATTTTCATCTCTGTAACAGTGTCCGACAAAACAAAGGTGGTATAAGTATATCTGCTTATGTAAAGTGATCGGCCAACTAACTCTAACGGTAATGGAGGGTATAATGGACTCCTTCTTTATTTCATGATGGCCTACATGTGACCAAAAGGATTGCTCTTTGATTTTTGAGTATATTGAAAGAAAATGCCACATTTTAACTGCAACTAAAAAAAAATTAGGCGCCCACATCTCTTGTTAGACATTCTCATGGCTTGCACATGCAGCCTGCACTACATGCCATAATTTCATACCCCACAGTCCTCCAATTGCTCTTTTTTGGGCCACCACAACCCTCAATTCCTCAATCCCCGCATATTATCTCGCAGAGAGAGAGAGAGAGTTCTCTATATAAAGATTGAATTGGGTTCATAAAATCAGAATACACACCAGACGAACACTCCAGTTTACCCTTAACTTTTTTGTCATGGCTCACTATGCAAAACAACTCTCCATTCTCTTGCTAGTAGTCCTCTCTACTTCTGTCCATTGTGAAGCCAGAGAGAGCAAGTTCTTTAGTAAAGTCCTTCATTACAGGATCTACAACACGAACAACAATGCCCAAGAGTCCAATCTCTCTCCAGTACTAGCCCCTGCACCACTTGAATCCTCCATTGTCTCCCCAGTGCCAGCTCCAGCACCGGAACCAGCGTCCCCAAACACCGAAAATGCTTTCGGCCTTTACGGCCATGGCTCTAGTCAATTCTCTCCTGCCAAAACCACCACAATTGCCAACGATGAAAACGAATTCCCTAGCGAAGAACTTAGTGAAGAAAGTTTTAAGGAGTCCAACAAGGAAGACTCTTATAACTACAACAACAACAACAATAACGAAAATGTCTATACGACCTCCAACTACAATAGCAATGGGTACTCGACGTCCAAGGACAATTACAATGGCTATAATAACAATGGTTATGTGGCAGAGCGACAAGGGATAAGCGATACGAGATTTTATCAGAGTGGCAGGTACTACTATGATGTAAAGAGCGAGAATAATTATCAGAATGGGTACGAAACTGTTACAGGCAGAAGCAACAATGGTGGTTATTATGGTGATGGAAAGAACTCGAAATATGAGTTTGATTCCATGGAAGAATACGAGAGGCAGGAGGGGTATCCAGAAAGCCAAAGGGAGTATGTTCCATGAACATCAGTTCACATCAAGCAAGAACAGGAGTGTAGTGTGTGTGTGAAAGAGAGAGTGAGAGGATAGACAAAGAGTGAGAGAATATAAATTATGGTGCATGATTGTGTTTTATAACACTTCTATTTGTATTTACGCAATGTTTTTACTTTGCAAATCATGGTAAACATAATTTTGCATTTCAAATTTCTTCAAGTATTAAATAAATAAGTTCCCATAAATTTTAGAGATCACAAACGCTATTAAATACACACTAGACTTTTATCAACTCCACTGAAAATAGCCATTGATTTGTCTGTGCCCATGTTTTCCAAATGTGCATCGAGATATTTTTCTTTTTTGACTTTCATGTTCACTTAGAATTGTGCTTACTGTAAGGGATAAAAAAGGATTTACCAACTACAATATCTTTTGAGTGGTTGGATTACTTTTATACTACACAACTTCCCCTGCAAAATAAACAAATTAATTGTCTGGGATCGGTGTTGATTGATCGAAGACACTCCGATACTTAAATCAGTAGAATAGATGTTTGAGACTTAAGAGAGTTACAAGGAAAATTAGGCATACCTTTTATGAATCTCTTTGATCTCTTTTATAGATCCTTTTGCTTCCCCTAGGGTTTTCCTTGGTTGCAACAAGAGGTCGTACACCTTGTTACGTCGGACTTTTAGCTAATTAGCGGGAATTTTTCTAACGCCCCCTAATTAGCTAATTCCTCTGAATTATTGATGAGCTTGTTAAGGTTTTCTTATTTGGTTTCCTCAACCTTCTGATGATTAGCAATTACTTTATCTAGCTCGGTTCAGGATGCTAAATTCCGTAATCCCGCTCGGCCTTACCCACTGGTCGGCAATTGATCCATGGACCGACCTCTTTTAGCTCGGTCTAATCTTGTTGCACATCATTTAGTGCACGTGACTTTGCCACGTGCTGAAATCATTACGTTGGATACACTCTCCATAATATATAAAACAAAAAAAAAATGATTTCAAAATGAAAGATTTAATAGAATATTAATCCACATTTTTATTGGCACGTTGTAGTAACTCAATAATAATGCCCCGATTCATATCATCTCCATATATTTTTATTCAATAATATGTCACAATTTTTTATAGGTGAGAAGTTCACTTATAAATAGTTGATCTACTTTTTTTAATGATAGATAATTTATTATTGAGTAAAATTGAAGAATAGTGTAACGGAAAGTCTTACTTGAATCACTATAAGTGATGTATCAAGAAAAAAATAGAAAAAAAAAAAAGTATTGGAGAGAATCTCACTCCTCTCCCACACCAACTAGTGCTATGATCATGCCTATTAACAAGTATGATAAAGCATGCAGATGGATTTGCTTTTTGCTTTTTTTCTATTTTTCTTTCACGTGGCAATGAAGAAGGGGGAAAAAGCATGGACTGAATTCCTTCTTACTCAATCTACCATGAGTAAGAGGGAACAGTTTAATTACAAATGTCTCCTCCGACAGAAATAATTTGCACCTCAATTTTTTATTTTTTACAATGGCAGGTTAAGTAATGATTTTAGAGATGGAATCTGGAATGGGTGCGAATTGCTAATTCGTCCGAGTGTCATTTATTTACCGCTACTGTCTGAATATTTCTTTTTAGGGTACGTCATGATTTTCTTCCAATATGGTGCAAAAAGGGTTCTATTATGAAGCCAAAACAACAAACTTCACAAAAGTGACATACTTTACTATTAAAAATTGTTGAGAGATATATTGGTTAGTTAGGATTCGAAAATTCTCCATTATCTTTATTTCCTTATTTATGAGGTAAGTTTCTCCTCAATCTCTCTTTGGTCAATTCCTGTATCTCTATCCTCTCTTCTCTCTCTTGCTTCTCAATCCCTCTCTTTTCTCTTTCTTTAAATTCTTTTTTCTCTTCTTTATATCGTCCCACTATGTCTGTCTCCTCTCTTTTTTTTGAATTCCTCTCTGTCACTTCCTTTTGTCCCACTCTCTCCACTCTTTTTTTTTAAACTTCTCTCTCTCATACAAACAAACACACACAAAGCACCATATCCACCATATTTTCTTACACCCTTTTTGTCTCTTCATTCTGTAGGAGTTGATTGAGAACCTGTATTCCATTGGGTTAAACAACATGAAGATCTCAATCATAGAATTGAGAAAATACTTATTTATCTTTCAAAATAAAGCTATCTGATGATAGTAAAATCAAATCTTCATTGGAAACAAGGCTATAGCACTGTGAGGGTGCCAATTGACCCAAAAGCCGGATTGGTTGACCTGACGTACCATGACACAGATCAATCAATCATTTAACTAGCTTGGTCAAGACTTGAACTAGCTTAGTCATATCAAACGAGCTCAGTTTACCTGAAATAGCTCATCCCACAATGGATGAAACGATGAAAGAAGGATTGCATCATTAGATCTTATCCAAATAATGGGGAATATATCTCTAGAGTGTCACATCACCAATTAGAATGTCACGTCGCAGCTAGGGAATACAGTCTTTAACAGTCAAATATTCTCTATCAAATCCTAACAAACTAGAAAACCACCCCATCATTTTTTGAGGGCTACACTATCCTAGTGTATAAAAATGCAAACCTTTACTTTACCCAAAAAAACTTGTGATTGTATCCTCAAAAACATAACAGTTTCATTCTCCAAGCAATACAAATTAGAGAATAAGAGACTCTATTAGAGTAAATTAGCTTAGCTTTGCAACTTAGCGAATCACTTACTTTCTTTGTGTTCTTAATACCTTTTAGCATTCACATACACGCACGCAATCAACTCACTCATACCGTAGGAGAGCTCTTCGGCCTCCACATCTAACACTTCTCAGTTTCACACACTATCATTATCTATCATCAAAATTGGTCAAAATAAAAAAAATTGGAAGTGTTATGTTGGATGATATCATCTTTTTAGGTAGCGTAGGAGTTTTGGTATCACAATTTTAAAATATCATTGGGTTGATGTGTCAATATTGAAACAACTAATTGGTCATCTCAACGAAGTTGCTACTGGAAAAAAATGTTTAAGCCAAGGATTTCCCACTCAAGTGGATGCATAATTACAGTCTATTGGGTTAATAAGTCCATGCGGGTACTTTTTGTGTCATTAAGACAAGCAAGTGAGAAAAGAAGATAAACACCCTAAAATAAATGCATGTCCTAAAAATCTTCACCTAGATCCTAAAAAATCTCATGCAGATCTCTCTCATAACACAAACACACATCTCTCTCTCTTCACGTAAATCCCTCTCTCCCCTCTGGTTCTTACGTTCTCTCTCTCATACACACACATATCTATCTTTCTTTAAGTAAATTTCTCTCCATCACATGCAAATCCTCTCACATATATGTGTATATATAAATGAATATATAAACATACGTATATATAGTAGCTACTATATCATAGTAAAAAGTTGTTATATTCAATGGTTGTGTCACTGTGTCTATCATTATGTCACTGTGGATGTGTAACTATATTAGTCATTGTGGTTGTTATTGTAGATATCACGGATATCGTAATAGTAGTAGTGTCACTATGGCTATCGTTGTGCCGGTACTGATATCATGTATATCGTAAATATCGTAATAGAAAGTTGTTATATATAGTGGTAGTGTCATTGTGGCTCTCACTATGCCAATGTGGATGTGTTGATGTGTCCTTGTGGCTGTCACTTTGATTGTGTATGTGTGTGTGTAAGGAAGAAATGTGAGAGAGATAAATAGGACGAAAGAGAGAGGAGAGAGAAAAAATATATATTCAATAGAACAGTCACGTAATTATAGTAATAGAATATGTCTAATCAATTCAAGGTCAAAATAGGAATTAAAAAAAGAAAAGAAAAGAGTCCTATGAATCTACTCACCAAATAGTACTTATCAGGTATTCTTAACGACCTAAAAAGTTCAAGCCAAAATAGTTTATCATATTATACTTGCTTATAATTTCCATTTATATCCTCTGATAGAGTAATCTGGTTGGTAGCCCTCGGTCGCACTGGTATCTGGTCAGGGGCGGCCCAACATGATTTGGGGCCTAAGGCCAAAAATTGTGATAAGGCCCATTAATTTGAAGCGTAAATTATATTTAATTAAAATACTTTTAATGTGTTTTTGAGACATGGAAGTACTAATTGACTATTTGTGCCGCAGTTTTTTTAAGCCATATTTTTTTAAAAGATAATATTACTAATTCTGTCAAAGTCTAATAGTTAGTATTATGGTAAGCTATTATTTTATTTGATTTTATATTTGTCCCAATCATTAAGAATAAAAAAAAATAGTGAATAATAATATCCAAACCCAATATTTAATGTTAAATTATTGATTAATTCCTTTATTAATAATATATAAAAATTGTTAACAAATTCAATTCAATTCTAATTTCTCAAAAACCTACCAAATTATAGACAAATAACAAATAGAATAATTTTAAAGTCGTCGAAAGTTGATAGAAACATTGATCGGAAAAAATATTATATAGTTACGGGTTGTAATTATGAAAGCATAAATTTTAATTGTTATAAAAAAATTTGAGTCTCTGATTAGTTTGAGGATCCTGTTAGTGGTGCGACAAGTGCATTCTATGGATTCAACCACGATATTTATCTTTACCTTAATTTGTGTTTTTCTTGTTAACCTGTCTGGTTTTGCTCTTTCATATCAGCTTGATTCTGGACCTCTTGATGGTTTGGGGCCAATCCTCTGTAGTTTATTAGTTGAAGGATTAGTAGAATTGTAGAAATATATTCTAGCTGTTTAGGTGCTATTTGGTTCTCTTCTTCTGTTCTTTTTAGCAAACATTTATATTTCATTTGATACGATTGAAAAATAAAAAGATAGAAAATTGGAGAGATAGATAAAATATTATGTTTGGTAAGGAAGAAAGATGAAAAAGTAGATGAATGAACTCTCCTTTCAACTCACCAAAATCAATCTTTTTTAAATTAAGTAAAAAAGTGGATGAAAAATTAATTATGTCTGTTAAAATG